CGATCGCATAGAGAATTGATCTAAAAGGTTACTAAGTACTAAAATTAGAAAAAATTAATCTTATCCAAACACTCAAAATTAATTGATTAACTAAAACTAATTAACTAAAATTTAAACCAAGAAAAATCAAAATAATAAATGCTCAAGTAATATAAAATCAAACAAGCCTAGGATTACAATATCCCTCACACTTAATCTAAATCTTTCCTCTCTTCCTTAACTTATTTCAATAGGTTGAATTGCTAACCTAGAGTCTTAATTTATTTATATAGGTCTCCCGACTCATTTTATAAAAATATCTATTTTAACCAAAACACTATATCCCTATGTGAATTGAAATTAAAACAGACTCATTAAGTTTAGGCTCTAATCTAGCTACATATGACCTATAGGTATATCCCTATCCTATACGAAAATCAATTAATGTGATCATACATTGTCCCAATCTTAGTATACACTAAACTCTCTTTTCTAAGTTTGTTTAGGTTCCTAAATCGATTTAATTGGTGGCCAAGCAATTAAAAGTATTAAGAACAAATTGGGATAAACAATTCAATTCCCATTGAAGATAAGTAAAAAAGAGATTAAAAATTTAGATTATATGTGAGTTCAATCGCAATCCTAAAAAAAGAAAATTAACCACGCATGATTGCAAAAACAAATAACTATCATAAATTCAACCATTGAGAGTAACAAGAAAAATAAAAGCCGAGGAAGAAAACAAAACACTATTTATCGCCTTGATCTCCAAGTTTCAACCTCAACTTCTAGCTTTTTGAATCTTCAAAAGTTGTCTTTCCCTATTCTGAAAAAAAAACTATCCTATTTATAGTAATAGACCTAACCTATAATTCTCTAAGTTGACCTATGGTTCAATTGGGCTTAAAAGTGTATTAAGAGGCCCAAAAAATCAATTGTCAGTCTTTACAAATTTTCATTCTCAATATAGTACATCTAGCCATTTTCCAACGCAATTTTCTCCATCTTCAATGCAGAACTGGGTAAAGTAATCTTCATGAAAGTTATAACTATGTCTCTTAGCTTTCCAATGGTCTAAGAATCACATCATTTAGAGTTCTTTAGCACAAGATAGAGCCAAAATACTGAAATATATGCAAGTAGACCTCTGGGTCTTCCAACTCCTTACTTTCCAAAATTAAGCCCAATCTTTTTTTACTCCTACAAAAAATATAAACACTAATAAATAACAATCAAATTAAAAGAAATAACATAAAATTAAAATAACTCACTTAAAAATAAACTAACTATAAAAACAACTAAAAATAAGTAAATTATAAATAAAAATTGAGCACTTAGCTAATATTTAATAACAAAATTGAGCTAAAATAATTCTATAAAATAGAATTATCACTTATGTATATGATTGGAAATGATAAGAAAAAGGTGTATGCATGTAAATGATTTGAAGTTATGCATAGGCATAATGGGAATTCGAATGGATTACATAAGAGATAACTCATGGTAAGATGTAAGTTGAATGGTAACTTAAACATCCAAAGAGTAATCTAGAATTGATTATACCCCAATGTTCATAGATTAAATATGATTTATGGGAATGAAATGGAAAGGTACATTAGAAATGTCAAAATTTACAAAACCAAAAAGGGAAACATGAACTATGAGAATATGATATTGAATCTTGGTTATGGATGGGAACGTATAAAAGAAAATTTAGTTCGAACACACTTGACACAAGAATCCCTACACACAATGATGAATGTCGACATTTAAATGTATGCATATATATACATATGTGGAGTTGATTATGTGACCAACTAAAGTGAAGGATTATTCATAGTGATTTGAGATTTGAACTCAATATATTTGATGAGTTGTATAAATGATTCAATGATAGGAGATTCCATTGGAAATTGAGTTATGATGCTAGGGAAGAATTTTGGAGCAATAGTTAAAGAAAGGATATCTAGGAAATGGAATCTATAATGTGGTTAAGCCATTCAAGATGGATTAATATGATTAAGATGTAAGAATTAATGAAGTGCTAAGACATAGTTACATTAGACTCTCCATAAGGCAATAGTGTAAGGGATGGAGAATAAATGGTGATAATTTTATAATGTGAGTCATTGGTGAAATTGATTAAAGAAGGCAAAATTTAATTTTGTCTATGATGATGGAAGGGTTCTAAGTCATAATGATGATAAGATATTCTCAGACGTGAAAGATTAAAATTTACAAAAAGAATTTCATGGTCAATGGAAGAAATTGCAATCAGAGTTAAAGATTGGCAAGTGAGTTACCTTTCCGCATGATGTAAATTACATTGAATTAAGAATGATGTAGAAGTCTGAACTTTGAACGTGCAATTAGCGAAAAAATTAAGAAGATTGAATTGTATAAATCCACGATAAGCATGAAGTATAAGGAACAATTGAAGGCTTTAACCTCCCATAATGTTGAAAATATGCATAGGAATGAGTATGGCATGTTTATAATGCTATAAGTTATGTAATAGTGTATGGGGATGAGATGAATGAATGTTGAGAAGTTTGACAAGAATCGAAATAAAGATTTGTTTAAGGTTAGTAATGGAGTTAAAGGCATACTTGGGATCTTAATGATAAGAGAGAATAATTATAAGCGTACCATTGTTTTGATTCAAAGATGATAATAGATATAAGTTACGTACCCTAACCTTGTAAAGTGTTCTAGTCGAATTGAAAGTAAACGAGCTGGATAAATCAAATTCCCTATGAAGAAGGAAATGAAATATGATCATAGAGTGAGATTAATAATCCAACGTTGAAGTGAATTCGAGGACAAATTCTTTTTAACTGGGGAAAGTATAACATCTCATACCCTCATATAAAAGTTAATAAGATCTTATCGATAGGACGAGGGTCAATTAATGCTAATTTAAGTGCGAAAAAGCATAGACGAGTGAAAAAGAATATTTTAGAATAAAATATTTCATACATGAGAAAATAATAATAAAATAATAATAATCTATTAAAAATGAATTAGCAAGTTAAAAATACGATTTGGAAGTGAATCGGGACAAAGTGAGACACTTTGAGATCCGAGGAGACAAGAGGAGAATTTTAAAATAAAATAATATTTTAGTAATAAAATATTATTAAAATAATAATATTTTATCACTTATGAAAATTAGTCATGAAGAAAGACTACATGACTAATCTAAGTGAGGGAGAAGAAGTAAGAAAGAATTTTAAATAAGTGCGGCTCGCGTGCCTTATTAAATAAAATAAGAAAGTTCAATATTATGGTGACACCTCAGTGAAGTGTTAATTTGATATTTTATTTGTACAAGTGTAAAGAAAGAAAAATAGAAGGAAATTGGAATTAAAGGAATTATGGGAGGATGTAATTGAAAAGAATAAAAAGTTGAAGGATGGGATTGCAAATAATGAAAAGTAAAGGTGTAAAGTTGTAATTATGAAGGATTTGAAGGATCAAATTGCAATTTATGAAATGTTTGAAGGATCAAATTGAAAAAGATGTAAAGTTTAGAAGGTCAAATGGTAAATAAGGAGAAAATTGAGGACTTATGTGTAATTTCACCATTTTAAGTTAAATGGAAATTAACTAACCAAGGAAAATTAGATTATATGGGAGGATAGAATATGCATGTAACAAATACTATTACATACAAAGATATGTATGCAAGGATGTACTTGTAGTGGGGAACGTATGAAACCCCCACCATGTGACAAACAAAAAGGCATTATGATTTTACAACATTATTTTTATAAGGTACATACATTTTTCTTGTTTTTTGGTTTTATAAGGTTCCCATTTTATACTCTGATTTTATATTTCAAATTATCTACTCTAAACTTGTTTCTCATCTACGCTCTACTTACGGAGCCGATGCTCATTAAGTTTGTGAGACTCTACTTACGAAGCTGATGCTCATTAAGTTTGTGAGACTCACTCCTTTATTTTCCCTTTTGCAGATAGTGATCATAGTAGCATGCATTCATCGGCATACATTGTCCACCACAAATAGGTAAAGGCATCTTGTAGCACTTATTTCGAGTCACTCCGGTGCTAGAGATTGGGTCATCCATAGTGTATTTTGCTTTTATAAATAGACACTAGTCTCAATGTAATTATACAATTAAAAATTATACGTTTGGATGTAGTTTTACAATTATGTGGAATAAAGGTTGAGTCAATTTATAATGATGTTTGTTCAAATCATATTACGAAGAGTTATACGTTTAAAAGGATTACATAAGTTGGTGGAATGAATATAAGGTAATAACAAGAGTTTCAATTAAGGCTTGTTTAGGACTTGGTGGGTTCCCCTGCAAGACTCGAACGACGGTAGAGATTGAAGAACGGTTGTTACAATTTGCAAGTTGATGCAAACTTAATGTAAGTGTCCAATTTAATCAAAGCTCTAATAAAAAAGCTATGGAATTTTGAATTCATATTAAAGTTGGGGTTAGGTTATTCCAAATAAGGTAGACAAGCTTGGGGGAGCTAGGGTGTTGATGAAAAATGGTGACTAGTCACTTTTTAATTTTTAATTTATTATTATATATATATAATTTAAAATGTATATATTTATAATCTTATATGATTATCTTTTAGTCACTTTTCATATAAAATCTTAAATTTGTCACTGTGGATAAGTAAATCAGATTGAATTATATTTTATCACATATAATTGTTTGTACAAGTAGCTTATTTCCTTTATTTATTATATCTAAAACATTACTAGCTCTAATATTGAAAAAAATTTTATCCTTTTGAAGAAGAAAAAGAAAGAAACTTTAAAGAAAGAAGCTTAGCATTGAAAAAGTACAAAAGTGTACAGCAACATTTTTATAGAGTTAAAGTTGAAAAGAGAAAAAAAAGAAAGAAAAGGAAAAAAGAAATAATGGGACCCGCAATTTTATGAGGTAATTGGCACTACTGTCCAAAAGCAAAATGCTGGAGCAACATACAAAAGCGAAACGTATGTCCCAATTTTAATTTGCCGGCTTCCTTAGTTATTAGTGTGTTAAATATTTGCCAAATTAATAAAAAAGAAGATCGAAATTGGCGCTTCTTTTCTCTCTTTTCTCTTAAATTAATACTTTTTTTTTTCATTTCTTTTTAAGAGTAAAAAAGGAAGTCCAGGAAAACAGAAGAGAAAGGCGGAAAAAAGAATTTCCTTTCCCATTTATTCCCAAATATATAGTAAATCCATATCTACTGAAGAATAGAAGGGTGTTATAATTAAGATCTTTTTTTTTCTTAAAAAAATAAAACCTAAATTAAATCTCATCAATCTAAACCGAATTTTTGCCAGTTAATTTTACCGCCATGTCAGTGCGAAGACGAACCTTGCTCAAGGTCATTGTTCTCGGCGATAGCGGGTGCGTTCCTTTTCAGTTTTAATCTCAATTTCTGGGTCTTCTTTTTTAAAGTTTACAAATTTTTAGAAATTCTTTTTATTATTTGTATAATAATTAATGTGTTATTGTCAATATCAGAGTGGGCAAGACGTCGTTGATGAATCAGTATCCTTTCAACAGTAATTGAATTTCAATCTGCTTATTTTATATTTGTGTAAATTTCCTGTTCGTTTTTGTGGGGTTCATTTTTTAGATCTTAAATTTTGTATATGGCTGAAGTTGATTTTCATCTGATCAATCTTAATTTTTTCTTTGTTTGTTCATTTAAAGCTTGATTTTATAAGGTGCATCGTTGTTAGAACTAAACTGCTTGAATTTAGATATGTTCATAAGAAGTTTAGTCAGCAATATAAAGCAACAATTGGTGCTGATTTTGTCACTAAGGAAGTCCAGATTGACGACCGCCTTGTCACACTGCAAGTACGCTTTTACATTCTTTTTTTAGGTTTGGGTATTTTTATGTTATTTGCAGCTTAATTTTGAAGTTGTCATGGAGGGGATGATCATGCATATTTTTGGGTGGTGGGGATTGAATTGGATAGATATGGGATACTGCGGGCCAGGAGCGGTTTCAGAGTCTTGGAGTTGCCTTCTATAGGGGTGCAGATTGCTGTGTCCTAGTTTATGATGTTAATGTGATGAAGTCATTTGATACCCTTGATAATTGGCACGAGGAGTTTCTTAAACAGGTTTCTCTTTGCCCTTTTCTTTATTCTTTCATTTTACTTTCGTTGTTGGTTTTAGTTCATTAGGGAAGCTTGTTTTTCATGTAGTAATGAATGGTTTGTTTCATTTTAAATTGTTTTTATGCCTCTGCAAGAATGAAGGAAATAGCAGCATCTATATGGTCATAAGAATGTGAAGAAGAATGTGCAGTGTATTAGGTTTTTTTTTTTCTCCTACTGTTTTAATTACCCCTGCCCTGGTAAAACTTTGCCAACCTTAATAAATGTGGAATGGCTAGTAATTAAAACTTTGCGGACCTTGATGAATGTGGAATTCATTGTCAGTGCAAATCATTCATATGTTATCAAAAACCTTTATTTTATTTAAGTTATTGGTAAGGCATCTCTCCTTCTCTCTGTCTCTCTAGTGCATGTGCCACATGCATATTGATGCACACACACATCCCCATCTTCTATGTTTTTGTCTATTTGAATATTTATTCATGTTTGAGTTGTTTTGAGTCCGAATTGGTTCATTTGTTTTATGCGCTTAACTTCTTCAACTTCATGTGCTAACATTATCTATAGCCTACCTAAGTGATAGACTCTACACTAGTGGAAGGCTGAAGTTTGAGATAATTGCTGCTGTTTAGTCATATATGCCTTGAGACTCTAGAAAATGTAGAATTCAAGAGATATATCCTTATTTTCACCTATATTTTCTTGATGTCTTTAACCTTATGCAGAGGCATGGCTTGTGAATAAACTAAAAGGTTGAAGCCCTTCTAGTAATCACAAGACAATTTTGCTAACCATTCTCCTATAAAGCAGGGAAAAAATTTTTGTTAAATTGTTTCTGAGAAAAAAATAGTGGTTAATCTTTTGAAGACACATTTGACATGAGGTAAATTTTCTTGCAAGATGGTGTTTTGTTCATTGACCTTGATCAAACGCTTGTTTTCTTTTCGTGCCAAATGGAAGAAGAAACACATGGGATGTTTCTTGTTAAGAGTGCATGCTTCCAAATTCTTACTGATATTGATATTGGAATCAGTGATGGTTGCATAAATTCAAATATGTTATCCAACCTAGTTTTGTGAGTTTGTGATTGGGCTCATTAATTCTTTTAAATCACATTCTTTTATCTATTGTTCTGGCCTCGCTCATGGTGTCATAACTGGTTTTATGTTTGCCTCGTCAATTCATCTTCATTTTGGTTTTTTGAAGGGTTTAGTAATTTTTGCACTTTGTGAATAGTAAAGAAACAAGAAATTTGTAATTTCTTACCCAATCTTTAGTTGGACAAGTTCCCTTGGCCACTAGAGTGAGTGATATAAACTCAGACGTGCACACCTATTTTCGGATTTGATCTTGTTTGTTGCCATTCTGCTGTTCTTTTGACCATCAATGCCTGCTTTCCCAACATTCCTTGTCTTAGTCAACTAGTCAGAGTTGGTTTATAAAAGCACTATAGGTTTAAGTTAACAGATCAAAGAGAGTGTGTAGGTAGTATGTAACAACACCTTTAATGAATGCTAATGCTTATGGGAATATGAGTGAAGATATGAATTTTCTCTTTTTGACGCCTAGGTGCATCATGTTAAAGCTCATCTAGTTAGAAATTGGATAAACTATTGGTTGCTGACCCTATAATTCAGTGCTTAACATGATCTGCTGACTCTGCAATGTGCATGATCTTACTTAGCAGCCAGTTTAATTTCTGACGTTGCTTACTCTTTTATGTTTATGGTTTTCAATACTTTAAACTGTATATTAATTCATTGAGCAAGCAAGTACCATCTGTGTTAAATGTTGATATATCTATCTTGTCTTGTTTCCGTTTTCATTTCATGCCAGGCAAATCCAACTGACCCCAGGATGTTTCCATTTATATTGCTTGGAAACAAGATAGATATAGATGGCGGTAATAGTCGAGTGGTATGGATATATAGTTGCTATGCTTCCTAATTTTTCTTTTATCCTCACACGTCAGCCTAATAGGTGGTGTTTTGAGCCATGTAGGTGTCCGATAAGAAAGCAAATGAATGGTGTGCTTCAAAAGGAAAGATACCTTACTTTGAAACATCAGCAAAAGAAGATATCAATGTTGATCATGCATTTCTTTGTATTGCCAAAACTGCTCTGGCAAATGAGCGTGAGCAGGACATGTAAGTTTATCTTGAAACCTAGTCCCTGTTCAGAGTGAATTTTGGCAGATACATTATTATTGTTGCAGCATGGTGTTATTGGCCCAGAAAGGAGTTTGGTTTCATCAAGACCTGCAGATTCAGAGATAATCATCATTATTATGTCTTGCATTTTTACTGCATAGCTGTGATCATCTTTAGCATATGCTTTTGGGACATTATATAGTTACTAGTTGGGAAAAAAGAGGATATCTCCATGGGGTATTGCCATTAACATTTCAATGTGACCTGTTAAGAGGATAATTTGGACTACATTAAGGCTCCGTTTGGTAAGGATGAAAACTTTTTCATCATTTTCCCTTGTTTGATAAATTTTCTGGTCAACGGATTCATTCCCTTGCTGCCTTCCCCTCCCTCTTGGATTGATCCCACCTGATCAGATTTTGCCCTTTTATCCATCTCTGGCTTAGTGCAACTCTGTGGCTTGACCTAACTCCTCTCTTTATAGTTGTAGACAAAGGGCTACCAATAGATAGCCCGTTTTCCATCTCTGGCTTACTGCAACTCTGTAGCTTGAACTAACTCCTCTCTTTATAGTTGTAGACAAGGGGCTACCAATTTATACCCTTTTTCCATCTCTGGCTTACTTCAACTCTGTAGCTTGACCTAACTCCTCTCTTTATAGTTGTAGACAAAGGGCTACCAATTTATACTACTACATCTCATTTTTGTAGCTTTATTCTTACTAGTGTAAAGCTGCAACCCACTATGATTGTGTGGTTGAAACTTAAAAGCAATGCAGCTCAAGAGGAAAGTGAAATAAGGGAAACAAAATATTATGCGCAACTTGTAGGTGGATCGCAAAAAATTATTGTCTTTTTTCTTTTTTTTCTTTTGGATAATTTATATGTTGTGAATAATTAGAATTTAAATATACTCCTTTAAAAGTTAAATTCTTTTTTAAATAGGTCATGATAGAAAATAATTTTTACAGGTTGATCCAAACGACGAAATATTTTTGGCAGTTTATCCAAACAATAGAAACATTAGATTTTCTAAAACAGAAAATATTTTACTTCAGTAAGTTATTTTCCGGTTACCCGATGGAGTCGAAGGGTGTAAAATTTATCCTGTCACCTTGAAAACCTCTTTGGACTGCTAATTGATTTGCCTCGTCATGTCATTCATGGTGTGGAAGTGACAAATCATATAGTATTTCTTAATGAAAACAATATAGATGTATATTATGCCTCAGGTAGGCCCATATTTCTTGACTTTACTGGGTTGCTCATGTGGATATTGTATGGTGAAAAATACGCTACTCTAACTCTTATGTAGATGAATCACATTCGTGTGCATAATGAGGAAGGAGTAGAAAATGCAATCGAAGGGTAAGGTGCTTCTAGACAGATAAATGGGGTTTGCGGAAACCTAAAACGATTATAAGTGACAAGTGGAAATTATGAGAAATAAAATTCTAAAGGAAATGGTTTCATGAGAATCATAGCGATTTGTACTTTTTTTAGTTAAGGTTAAAACTTATGATGTTGATTCAATGAAACATGTGTCTTTAACTATGTGGCTAATTTGTACAAAAAACTTCTCCTATTCAATTAGAAATGGTTTCTTTGTACAACCATCTAGATCTTATAATGATGATCATAGCTCTTACCATCTACATCTTCTGTTAGTTTTAATTATTATTTGATTGTGTGTGGATGTGCTTATACATGTGTTCCATGATGCTGTCCTACCCTGCCTAATGTGGGCCACAATGTTTCTTTTCATAATCTTAGATGCTGTCATTGCTTCCTTTTGGTTGGCATGCTTGTAACTTCTATAGAAGAAAATTTACTAATTTAGTGTTCAGTGGGATACTGATTTTTCATGTTTCTGCTGTTGATATAAATCCATCATAATTTAAACTTGATGTTTGGATTCTTTTATGTTACTCTTCTTTTACGCAGGGGCACTTTTGTTTCACTTGTGTTTGTTTAATGGTGCAAAAGAACTAAGTTTCAAAACTGCTGTAAAAAACTTTTCTTCTTCCACTTTCACCTTAAAATATTGGGCGTGTGTAACCAGGCTATGCAGTTTATAATTTTCTTGATTGATATCCCATTTGTGTGTGATGATTGCAGCTATTTCCAGGGCATCCCGGAGGCTGTGTCTGAGACTGAGCAAAGAAATGGTTGTGCATGCTGATTACAAGCCAAACTCTTTTATTCTTGGTTGCCTGATGCTTCAATTTTTTTTTTTTTTTTTTTGCGGTTCCTATGATTCATATCCATTTTTTGTACACATTGTATTCTAAAGTCCCTTGATTGAGGCATATTTTCCTCCTTTTAAGAGTTGAAATTTGTAGAATTCTAGTCAGTTTGGTTTTAGTTGTAATAGGGATCAATGTTGTACAGGCAGCCTTTGGATGAGCTTTCATCCAAGAAATGATTGTTCATGTTTTTAAAGGACGTGATATTATTTAGGTACAGTCATGGAATATCTCCTTGAGAAATAGCCTTGAGTACTCTGGCCCTGTCTATTCATGGAAATCAAGCCTTGCTGATATTTGCACTGGAACAGAGAGCTTCTCGATGCTTGTTAACTCGCTTTGTGTAGTCAGGCTCTTGTATGTTTCAATATTTTTGCATTTTTTTTTTTGGATGATTTGGTGGTAGAAATGGGAGGGTCAAATAATCATTTAATGGACAATGAAAAATGAGCTTAAAATATTTGAAAATCATTTTTTAGTTGACAAAAAGTAAAAGATTATGCTCGGGCAAACTAATGTCTCGAACAAACCCTTTCCTAATTAAATTTGTTCACAGGTCGGACTGTAGATAGGACTTTTTATGCTTGGACTTGACCATTCCCAACTCAATCGAAAATATTATTATATCGATAAATTATTTAATTTTATTTAAAAATTTTGTTTAAAAATAATAAATATCGCATGAAAAAATAATTTAAATATTTTAATTATAAATATTACAATTTATATTAATTTTTAATATAAATAGATATAATTTTATGATATTTTAATAGCAAATTAAGATGGTATTTGTAGTTACGTTATGAAAACGATTATAGAAAATATAGATTATGTTGGAATAGATTTCAATTTGGTACCTTCAAAAGAGTTTGCAAGGAAAGTTATATTGTATTAGTCAACTACATAAATGTATGATTTTTGTTGGTAGAGAAAAAGATAAACTAGTATTAATTGAAGATAGTTATTTACTTTGTTTTCAATCATTAAAAGTTTCTCCTAAATATATGGTTTTAAAACAGTACTTAACTAAAGAAGATAGTAATCTTGTTCAACATCTAGTAATTTTTTTTCATTAAAATATATTGTTTAAACAAAATGAATAATATTTGTGATTTGGAGGTTTCTATTTTTATTAGATGATGTATGTCAACTTTCTAGATGCAATACTTGTATTTAGCTAAAAGTTAAGGGAATATAAACTGTTACACAACTGTCAGATATGTCTAACTATGGTAACAGTGTGCTCTTCCTTTTGCCATAAAACATTTATTTCTATTTTTTTTTATTTTTGTTGTTGTACTATATTGTATTACTAAGCTGCATGAATGTATGGTTCTTATTAGTAGAGGAAAAGATAAGCTGGTATTAATTGAATATAGTTATTTATTATGGTTTCAATTACCAAAAACCACCACCTGCAAATATGGTTATGAAATAGTACTTATCTAAAAAAGACAATAATCCTAGCAAAGATTATTAGATATATAATAAAATATTAAAAAATAAGAGAGCATATAACTTGTACTACTGGCAGATTAAGATAAATAGTTGTAGAATATAAGGTAATAGTATAACGTAAAGATTCTATCAATATAAAATAGTTACAAATTTTTAGTGGTATCTGTCTTTTATATATAAAAGAATGGTTAAAGTTTGTCAAATTCAGTTGATTTGTTTATTCAATGATGATTGTGTATTATATATATTGAGAAATGAGTAGATCTTTTTGACTTTTTTACTTTGTTTAATGAATTAGATGGATATTTATTGGAATTTAAAGTTCATGAATAAAAGAGATGTTTAAATATTATAGATTCATGTTTATGCAAAATAAAAGGATATAGGTAAAAAATAATATTAAATTGCAATTGATAAGTATTAAATGAATCTATCCTCTAAGCATTAAAAGTTAGAAATTATTGTTTTTAAATATTTTTATTGAAATAAATAAAATTTTAAAAAAACCCTTCAAATGCAAAAAAAAAAAAATGCAATTTTGACATAAGGTGTAAAAAAAATTAATTCAATTGAGAATAACAGGTGTCAATCAATTGACCCACTTAATTCCTACTTAAAACTATACTTATCCAAAGAAGACAATAATCCTATCAAAGATTATTAGATGTATAATAAAATATTAAGAAATAAGAGAGTATATAACTTGTCCTATTGGCAGATTAAAATAAACAGTTGTATAATATATGGCAACAATGTGATGTAAAGATTTTATCAATATAAAATAGTTACTAATTTCTAATAGTATTTACCTTTTATATATAAAATGAATGGTTAAGGGTTGTCAAATTTAGTTGATTCAATGATGATTGTGTGCTATATATATTGAGAAATGTGTAGATCTTCTTGACTTTTTTATTTTGTTTAATGAATTAGATGGATATTTATTAGAGTTTAAACATACATGTATAAAAAAGATATCTAAATACTATAGATTCAGGTTCATACAGAATAAGAGGATATAGATAAAAAATAATTTTAAATTACAATTAATAAATATTAAATGAATCTATATTCTAAGTATTAAAAGTTAAAAATTATTGTTTTCAAGTATTTTTTACTGAAATAAATGAAATTTAAAAAAAAAACCCTTCAAATATAAAAAACAACGTAGTTTTGACATAAGGTGAACAAAAAAAAAATTCAATTGAGAATGGTAGGTGTCAATCAATTGACCCAATCAATTATTTTACTTATATATATATTATAGATATTAGTAATAATAATGAATATGCTAAATAATTTAATAATAATTTTTTAATATTTTAATAGTTAGGTCAATATATTATTTTGACAAGAATACAAAAATTTAAAAAAAAAGAAAAAAAGAAGAAAGAAAACAACCAAATAACAATTTTCCCACAAATATCTAAATAATAAAAAATAAATATTTGAAAAATGTATTCTTTGGAAACTCTTTTCGGCAAAATAAATAAAAAGAGTGTTATCCACCTTTACCCCTTCTATGCTACTTTCTTAACTGATTTCTCCATTCATTTTTCATTTTCATTGGCTAAATTGAAGGTTTCAACAAATTGTTCTTTGGTATATCTAGCTAGTGTGCTACATAATAAGCCTATTTGTTTAGCCTCCTTCAATCTTCACCCAAAAAATGGCAAGCTATAGTCACCTTTCAACATCATGACAAAGTAATCTTAGAAGATTTTTGTCAAATCTTCACCCTATCCCATATTTTTAATGAGTCCTTTTTAACCTTTTAGACCTCAAGTGATAATTGGCACAAAGCACAAGGAAAGTTTGAAAATGCTAATAACTTTATTCAAATTATGGAAAACAAACAAAAGAAACTAGTCAACAGCCTTAAAACTTTATAAGATTTGATGATTTAAGCATACCTTTAATGATGATCTACAAACTTAACCAACATTAAGAGTGAATGGTAGAAAAAAAACATTCAAAGTTGGAAGGATCGTGTGTAAGTAAAGCATACGAAGATTATAGAGGCAACAATATATACCTCATTTTTGAAAAATCTTGGCAAGTTTCTAGGATTTCACTACAAAAAATCAAAGTTTAAAAGTTACAATCGTATTATCTGCCCTTATAGTCTTAATACCATCCTCTCTTGGAGGCTATTGCAATCCAAAATCAAAGCCAACTCAAAGTGACAAGATCATCTTAATGTTGACCAATTCAATTACAATTAGTGAATACTCAAAGAATATTATCTTTACAGGATACCTTTTTTTCAAAATATTTATATTTATATTAATAGGAGCAAGGGTAACAGGGATTTCTGTTAAGTCTTTAATCATTTAGTTAGACAAAATACTCGAGGTGACATAACTCATCTTATCACAATGAATCGTTACAAACACCTTCTTTCTTCAACATGGACCAGCACCACCTCAAGTTCTCTAGTGGAAAATAAAAATAGATTTAAGGGTTCTTTTCAAAAATACCCTTTATACATAAGGTGCTTTGAAAAGTAGCCTTTCTCATACTTTTAACTGTTTTTAGCCAAGACAAATTAACTTTGGATAAAATTACTCTTATTGAAACTGACCTATATGTTTAAGTCCGTGCCTCAAACCGACCCATATCCTTTGAGATTTCCTTACTAGACCTTTCATTTTTTAAACATTCTTTCCCACAGCATTCGTTGCCAAGGAGAAAAATCTTTGAGTGTTTTAAGCATTTTGGAATGGTTTTTGATACACAAAGAAAAACTTTTAAGTATTTTGAGCATTCCTCGCTAGGTAAGCATATTCATTGATTATGTTGTTAAATGGAATACGGTGTGCTGTTTGAAGTTGTTGATTTTGTTAAATGAAATTTTGTAGTTTTGGTGGTTTTTAGGTCGAATGTTGATGAGGCATGCATGATTGGTTGATAGAGCATTGTGATTGGTTTTAGGCATTGGGTTTAGGGATTTTAGGCATTACATGACTAGTTGATAGGGCATTGCATGATTGGTTTTTTGACCTTAAATGACTAGTTTTTGGGGCTTTGTGAGACTGATTTTTAGGACATTGCATGACTGATTTTTAGCATTGTGTGATCGATCTTTAAGCATTGCATAACTAGTTTTTAGACATTGCATGACTAGTTTTTAAGCATTGCGTGACTGGTTGATAGAGCATTTGCGTGACTAATTTTTAAACAATGTGTGACTAGTTGATAGGCATTACATGACTAGTTTGTAGGGAATTGCATGACTTATTTTTAGACATTGTGTGACTATTTGATAGGGCATTGTGTGACTGATTTTTAGGGCATTGCATAACTAGTATATAGGCATTGCGTGACTGATATGTAGGCATTACGTACTTGTTTCGGCATTGTGTGTAATTGGTATGTAGGCATTACATGACTGGATTCTAGGCATTGCTTGGATATTAATGCTTTTCTGCTTTTTACTTAACTTTAATGCTTGTATTATGTATTATTTGCTACTTCACATGTGCTTCATTTATTTTCTTTTATGTGTGCAAAGATAGTAAAAACTAGTTCTTGGTTTTTAATCTTCCTTGATCATATTTGTTAAATGGATATGTTATCTATTTCTTGTTGCTAATGGTCAGAACAAAGCAGGAGAACCTTAAATCTTTGCTTTGTGTTCCAAGGGACAAGTGGTGCTTCAACGCTGGCATTAACATCCACTGTAAGTGGACATAGCTGCATGTCTTACACGAGGCACTACAAAAAAAAAGAATGAGTGAAAGCTAGTGAAAAGAACGT